ATTTGTAAGTTGCTTTGGATAAAAGCGTCTGCTAAATGACAAAATTTAAATATAATGTAAATAACAAAACTAAAATGAAATTTTAAAACAAGCCCCAGATCAAATAAATAAGTATGTTAACACAAATAAAATAAATATCTTAATATAAACAAACTGAGGCTTTGTCTGTGCTCTTTCCATTTAAAATTAGGCAGGCAACCACTGCATTTTAATCATGATCCAAACAAAGATGCTGCATACATGCAACATGAGCAGTTTAATCTAAATTAGATTGTATAATTTCGAAATTTGAAGCAAAAACAGAATGGTTTGACTTCAGTTTCGTGAAACTACATAAAAAATATCTGCATGAAACAAACAGCAGAACTGAATTAGACGCAGATTCACTCTCTGCCAGCAGGTGGCGCTTAAAGCGTTTCCTTGGTTTCCGCTGTAATCAAAGCAGCGCTGCACTTATGAACTTTAATATGCATTATACAGAGGCAAGATGAAAAGAAAATATACCATCTAAATTTTTCTAAAGACAGTAAGTTCCCCTCAGACATGCATTCATATAAACTCCTACCCCTAATTGAATCGCGATTTGTTTACCATCTCAACCGATTTTAATCATCACATATTTTAATCGATTTTCAACCGGCTCCTGGTTAATCGTTACATCCCTATGCGGAGGAGACTAATTGATGAATAAAGTCGTTTTTTTTTCTTTTTTCTTTTTCGCACAAAAAGTATTCTCGTAGCTTTCTATAATTGCGGATGAACCACTGATGTCACATGGATTATTTTACAGATCTCCTTGATACGTCTCTGAACTTGGGAACATTTCAGTTGCGTTGCTGTCTATGCAGGGTCAGACAGCTCTCAGATTCCATCAAAAATATCTTAATTTGTGTTCTGAAGATGAACGAAGGTCTTACGGGTTTGAAACGATTAATTTTATTTTATATTGAAACAGAGGAGATGGGAAATTATTAGGTGGCAGAGAATGGAAATAGGAGACCAGATCTGAACCTAAGCTAAGGTGAAGGAGACACAAAGAAAACTGTATAGACTGAAATGGCCTTAATGTTAAAGGTTTAATGCAAGTTTGTCATTTAGTATAAGATTGTGAACATAAATTTAATTTTAATTCTAAAACTATATGGAATTTTTGTAAAATAGACAAACTGTAAAATTGACTTGAAAAATGGAGAAAAAAAAAGACAAAAAATACCTAGGCCATGGAGGTTTACGGTCAAAGAAAACAATTTGTTGACACTTGAAGAAATAATAATTCTCCCACTTCATTGCCATAACTTTCACCTCACTGTCTACATCTTAAGATACTCACACAACAGAGCAGGCGTAACAGCCCTTCTTGCTGCTCTCGCGGATGAGGAAGGCTCCATCGGGTTTGCCGTGTAGCAAGTCCTCTGCCTGCGTTCGGTTAAGGTCCCCCACAAACCAGCTCTTCTCATCGTAGTGTGGCAGATTCTCATCCTCCTCACTGACGAAGTAGGCGCTGTGATTTTGAGAGGAAATGTGTTAGATGCTGTGATGGAGGCAGTCATTTATCAAACCTGTGGTCTCAAATATGACAATTTGACTTACTCATCAGTGTTCTCGTTTTTGATCCCCAGCCAATCGTTTATTCGTTTCTGTCGAACACCTTTATGATTGAGCCAACTGCATGAGAAAGAAGCAATGAAGTGTTTACACATGGAGAAAAAAAAACTGTCAACTCTAACAGAACAATGATGACGAAATGAACTGCAAAGGAAGGATAATCTTACACAAGGTACTGATCTCTAATCTTTCTGAGCTGAATAAGATCTGGCTTCAAGCTGTTCATTTTCTTGTCCGTCTCCCTGTTGTCTAGAGCCTGTGTTTTCAGGTCCTGTTCAAGCCGGGTCTTACTGTCGTGAATCTCGCCAAGACGGGATTTGAGCTTCTCATAGTTCATCATAATCCTGAGAGAGAAACAAGAACTATTTGTAAACCCATAGATCAAGGCTGCTGACCAGAGCGCTCTTAATTGAGGACTGTGTGTACCTTTCAATCTCTTTGTCATTGCCCTCTCTGCGGAATCGCTCAATGTATTCTTTACTGTAGCGTTCCTGCGTGTGACACTGTTCTTCAAAAATTTTTATGGTCTCATTGAAGGCCTCTATTGCAGTACGTTTCATCTGGATCTCCTGCAATCAAAGGAAAGATAAATCAATGGATGTGATGCGACCTCAAAAGGGCTGTGCCTCTTAATAGACTTGGTTAACTGGTCAATGGGCTTCTGCAACGGAATAAATTGTTTGTGTCCATGTTGTGCATGTGGCGTTTAGCACTGCAGTTAATGGGTCGTCTAGCGATCCAACAGTGATGTTCTAAGAGGCTTACCTGTGAGGTTTTTGTGTGCTCCTCATAGAGTCTGTCATATTCTTTACTCTTCTCCTGATATTGATTGTGATATTCCTGGAGTTTCCTCCCCACTGCATCAATGTTGTCCTCTTTCACCAGCTGATCCTGAAAGAGCAAGAGTAAATGCATTGTTATTGGTATGAATGGCTGAGCGAAGAAAAGTGGGATGGGAAAAAGGACTGCTCACAGCAACATACTGTAGGTTTTGCTTACAAAGTGAAAGCCATTTTTCAGGAATTTTCTTCCAGGAATCATTAATAAAAATCTTGGAATCTGTAAGTGCCTCTCGAGGGCTTACATTTGTGGAACCCCCTAAATAATGAGCACCTGTGTGTCTGAGAAAGATACAGGGAGGGTGATGGAGGGAGCGGTGTATTGGAGAATAAATGCCTGGATGGCCTTTCGACATTGTGGATGTGTGCAATTATTTAGGAGGTGCACTGCTGTGGCAATAAACAAAGTAATATTTCGTGCCAAAAGCATCCTGCTGCCTCTGCAGTTTCACTCACAACAAGCTGCACAATTCATTCAGCAAACACGCTCTTTAGGGCCGGAGCGAGGGAGGTAGAGGTGGGTGGACAAAGAGGTAAAAGGAAAGGAAGGGATGGCTGTAAATGTGATACCCCCACCCACAATCTAAACCCATTTACCTGCTGGTAGCGGGAGACGGGATACATGAGCTTTACGTCCAGTTTGGTGTTGTACTGGGCCAGTGACTCGTGCCTGTAGTGATTGATGAGCTCCACTACTGAGCTGAATGTGAGCGGGTCTGAGAATCCGTACTTCCCATCCCGATGATAGATCTTTATTAGCTTATTGTTTCCACCTTTCCTGCAGGAAAAAAAAAGAAATTGTGTTGGACCACAGATCAATAAAAGATGAATGGAGCAGTTTTAAACCGTATCAAAAAATATTTCGAGTTACCTTAGCGTTAGTGTGTAATCTCCCTGCATCTTGGTCGAGGCGTCCCGTACCAGGAAAGTACCATCAGGCATGTCTCTCAGTTTGTCGTTCACCTCTTCCCTGCACAGAAAAGAGTGAATGGTGCAATTACTCCACACATCAAATCTTGCTCTTAATAATTAATAATTACAGCTAAAATAAGTTTTCGTGGCCCCTATCCTTCACTCCTTGGAAATGGCTGACACACAAAAAAACATGACTTTTCTCTTTGCCTGGCTGTATAAATAAATTTGTTCTGGCAGAGGGCAAAGGCACTGGTCTGTGACCATACTGCCTGCTACAGCCGTCTGGGAGAGTGTGAGACATCTTTGAATGGTTTAACTGTTGACCCGATACTGCACGCCCACATGTACAACGATGTCTCCAACTCCTGTCTTGAAATCAGACAGTCTGTCTCTTTAAAAGTGCCTCCAGATGACCAGCGGCGCAGCTGTCAGGCTAAAAAGACTTTCCTGCTTTTTTGCCGCCTCCTCCATTTTAGTCTAGGAGGAATGTCACACCCCTTGACTTCCAGGCCTCCTCCCATTCTCCTGACAGCCAACAGACTAGTCATGCTGGAGCTCAGCAGACCCCGGCCCTGGCTCTCAGGAGGGGGTATATTTAGCCTACTTTGGGCTGCTGAGGTAAGGAACCTTTGACTAAGCAATGCTCCCACATTTCAGGAGTCCTCTCTGCAGTGAGAGCTGTGGGAATCAGGTACATTTTTAGGCTGCAGTGCATCAGCAAATTCATCATTTAGGGGAGGTGCCCTATTTTAGTAACATGAGATAAATTTCACAAACAATTCTGCTTCTGTAATGTGATGTAATTAAATGAAAAAAAAAAAAATCTTAAATCGCTTAATCATAACTGTTTATCAAGACATTTTTATCTGTGTAATAACAGGCACAGATGAATTTTGCACAGTAAATAGTACATATTATAAATAAAGAGAGTCAATTTTGATTTAATCTAAGCTCAAGCCTAGAAGAAAATCAGGAATCCAAGACAGGCATGCAGATGATTAACATGGCTGAGAATCATTACTATGTACTCAACTGAAACTGTGTGCCCAGTAGTGTTGTTTTTGGCGGCCTGTTTTAATTTGAGTTTTAGTCTAGTCTTTGTGTGAAGCTGTCATTTTAGTTTTTATTAGTTTTAGTCACGTTCATACTCTTTTTAGTCTAGTCAAGATTTAGTCAACTAAAAGTCTGAGCATTTTAGTCTTATTTTAGTCAGAATTATCCATGACTATTTT